AGCCACATCTGAGATGGTGAGGTCCACTGCAGAAAGAGATTTAGTGTATTAGCTCTGTGAGAAATTACCCTAAATAAATTAGTGATAATATTCACATATTCATGCATCTTATTCTTGCTTTGTTGTGATTCATGAATATTGAGTAAGTAATATGTAGTCAATCAATGAATAAATCAAACCCTGGGGTGTCCAAATCAAAGATTTTGATTGAACCATATTATGTCAAGGTCTGTTATAAAAACAAACCTAATTTACTGCCTCAGTGGGACATGAGCTGATGGTTGCAATGAGGAATATGGGTTATCTTGTTTTTCGATTTTTGTAGGTATGAGGTATGAATTATTATTAGTGCATAATGATCAGTGCATGACTAAGTAAGCATACCAGTGAATGAAGACAAAGAGTCTTCACCAGTTACTATGGTATGGGATACGAATTATTAAAATATTTCTCAGGAGCCAAGTTACATTACGTAATAATTCAAGTCTATTATTGTTGTTTCTGGGTTGGTAGCTGTTAATTTTATTAAGTATTTTACTAAGAATAGAAAAAAGGGAAATGTAATGAATAATTGATTACAGAACTACTTAATTGAAATGAGATCAAGCTGGCGACAAGTGTTGAGTTTTGGGGCAGATGTTAATGTTATTGAGAACCCTTGGGCAGATGTTTGTGTTATTTAGAACCCTTGTCCAGGGAGCTCTTGGACAGATGTTTGTGTTATTTAGAACCCTTGTCCAGGGAGCTCTTGGGCAGATGTTAGTGTTATTTAGAACCCAAATATTAATGGTGTCATTATAAGTGAATGAAGGAAGGGATTTTTAAATGAGAGCAACATAAACCAATGAGCAGAATATCTAATTTAAAAAGTAAACTATTAATCTTGCTGTGCTCTACAAATTTTGTAAATAAAAGAGCCCTGGAATTCTGTCCATGCTGGGTAAAGACCAGAGGGCCAGTGACAAATTATAATAGACTATTCTGCATTTTCTTTGAAAAAAAAAAGAAAATTCAAAGTATTCCAGAACCACATTAAAAATAAATGAATAAATTTATAAATTCACATAATAGGTTCAAACATATACCATCAGTGAGAATGTGTCAAGGAACAGGAAGGTAAGTTTACCCAAATCTGATCAAAGAAGATGCATAAAAAAGATAATCTAGGTTCTTCCCTATATGAGTGAGGCTTGACTGATAATGTGGAATAGGCAGAATTTTTATTCCTTTACTAGGGCATAGTTTCTGCAGTTTTCATTATATTACATGAATTAGTAATGAACAAAGTCAAATAAAATTAGGGCCATTCTTGGGGTGATAATGGAATGTGATAAAAACTGGAGTTTTGATACAAGCAAGCCTTAGACTCCTTAAAAAAAAATCTAAATTTCTGCTTTTTAAATTTTCTAAAATCTGCTTTTTGCTCCACAGAATTCAATATGTGAAATATGATTTATTCATTATCCACTGAAGGAAATCTTGGCTGTCACTTCTGTGGATGAGGAGAGGGATGCATGTAAGTAATAACATTCATGTTGGTGGTTTGAAGGGGCTTATTCATGTTATTCATGGAATTATTTCAAAGGAATGAATGACTACCACAAACATAAATAGAACAAAAAAATGCTAACAGGGTGGACATTCTATGTTCTCACCACAAAAATGATAACTGTGAGTTAGTTTATATGTTAATTAGCTCGATTTAGTATTCCACAAAGTATTATTACATGTATAAGCTTCAGTATATTATGTTGTACATGATAAATGCACACAATTTTGTCTGCCAATTTAAAACCAAAATAAAATCAAAGAATGCCATGCATGGACCAATGTTGTAAATATGTAATGGACCATGGATTAAAATTAATCTATTTCAGTACAACTGAGTTTCATTGAAAACAAAGTTGGAAGACATTACATTCATTTTCACAATTGCTTAATATTCCATTCTATTTTTGTACCACATCTTAATAATGCTTCTTTACTGATGAAGATCAAGGCTTTTAAATCGTTGAGGAAGATTTTCCAGTGTTCCAGTTGTAAAGTAGTACAGTGGACTGCCATCCTATATTTAAATTTAAAAAAAATTAAGTGAAGGACACAAATTATGGTTAATTTAATTGTGTTCACTGTATTTTATAAAAAAACGAGAGACAAGGAATATAGTCATACATTTCTGTGATAAAGAGTGGGTGGGCAGTTGTTAGTATTTTTGGTGTTTATAGAGTCGAGGTTTTCAGGTACTTATATATTGTTTTAAGCTTTTGAATGAATATGATAAAATCTCAAGTCTCAGCTATGGACAATATGGAGTGTGAGTAACAAAGCTAATGAGTAACCCTGCTCTACTATACTCCTGTCCATGTGGAGAAAGTCAGATATAGATTCTTTTAACTTGGATTAAGTTCTTGGAGACAGGTCATATAATAAAAATATTTCAGTTATGGGTGTTACTGGGTTTACTATCTTTTTATTAAAGGGGGGTCAAACATGAACCAATATTGAGAATATATCTTATTATTAGGGTTATGTTTAATCCAACTCTATTTGCTGAGTTTTATTTTTTAAAAAATAAAAATCCTTTATGGGTTATGTCTATGGCCCATGAGCATGAAGAGAGAGATATTGAATGTTCCTGTACTTTGTCTTGGCTTTCATTGTTACTGATACGCTATCAGGGAAGGAGGAAGGCCATTTATAACTGGATCAATGTTATTCATAAGGAGGCTTTGCATGGTTGTTCATATCTGTAATACTAGTACTATGGGACACTGAGGCAGGTGGATTGCTTGAGCTCAGGAGTTCAGGACCAGCCTAAGCAAGAGCAAGAACCCCCGCCTTTGTTAAAACAAACGAAGAAACAAACCAACAACAACAACAAAAAAAACCCCTGGAAAAACTGAGGCAGGAGGATCACTTGAGCCCAAGAGTTTGAGGTTGTTGTGAGTTATGATGATGCCATGGCTCTCTACTCAGGGGGACAGAGTGAGATTCTGTCTCCACAAAAAAAAAAAAAAAAAAAGAAATTATTCAAAAGAAGATCAAGTATAAGCCAATGAGGAACCTGTGTTATGAATCAAAGATAATTATTACTGCTGGTGTACCCAAATGCTACTCGGATAAATAAATAGAGCTCTAGATTCCTCCCATTTTGGGTAAAGTACACATTGAAATTTACATGGAGCAATTCTTTAGAAAAATGGGTATATAATTTGTTCCATGCTAATTATATACATGAATAAATAAATGAATCACTAGACTTATCAGTCAGAAAAATTTATGTGTCATTGAGTGAGAATATGCCATAAAACAAGACTATGTTTATCTTATTCTGCATAAGTAAGATTCACTAAAAGCAATCACCTGGCTGTTAAATTTATGGATAGTGAGTAGGTAGAGATGTATTAATGACAGATATATCTTTTATTCTAATGTTGGTATTCATCATATTTTTTAAAAATAAAAACTACATAAGTGAGTAAGAAGTGCCATTTTGAGCAATGACGAGATTATTAGCTGACTCAAATTTATGATTAATTTAATACTTCAAGATGAATTTCCATCAAAAAATATGTAACTTTCTTTTGAAAATTTGTATTTTACTTTACCAAAGGAACACATCCTAGATGACTTAATCATTCTCTAATGCTAAAGATCTTGGCTTTTACCTCTGTGGGTGAGGAGAGAAAGAGATCAATGTTAGTAACAGTTAAACTTTAATTTTCTTGGGTTGAGATGTTGATTTTTGAGTGTTACCTGATTTTTTTTAAAGTAGTAAATACATATATTCATAAATAAAACCAGACAATTCCAGCATAGACTAGTGATGAGCATGTGCCCAGAATGGGGATTTGTAATTAATCCGATTCAATACTAGTAAAATCCAGTAAAAAGATGTGGAGTGATTCATGCATTTTCAGCGATGCTTCACATTCTGTCTTATTTTTGCATTGTGGTTCATATAAATACCTCTCCACTGATCAAGATTTAGGGTGCTATTTATTCCTTGAGGGAGAAGCACATAGGAAGATGCTGGTGTTCTAGTTGTGGAGTAAGATTATTTGTTGCACAATTTTTAAATGAAAAAGGGCTAATCATGGAACTGATATGAAACAAAAATGTTGATCAACTTATATGTACAAAAAATGCATATATATTGCAAAAAGCAATTATCTATTACTTCTGTGGGAAATGGACTTGTAGATTAAATTATTACTAACATTCAAGTATATTGTTCTCTGGCTTTTTCATTCATGGAGAAATAATCCTGTTGTTAGTGAATCTATGAATAAAGAAATAAACAATGCAGAAATAAAAGAACAAAAATAGGACAAGTATAGACCATTGATAAGTATTCTGAAATGTATGCATCAAAATTTTGATTGAACTCTGTAAAAAAGCTTAGTTATTTCCTGTATAGGAGAGGGGCTTATAGAAGAAGTATAGAACAAAGATCTGGTTCTAAGTTCTTCATGTCTCTGAATTAGTTATATTGTAAGTAAACTAATGCAAAAATAAATAAAGATGTATGAATGAATAATGGTCAATTAGGTTAATTTATAATAAAATAGGGATTATTATTTTTAATATATTCTAAAGCACTGAGTTTTATAACTTAAATAGTCTCCCTTACTGTCCTCATAAACGTCAGACCCTATTCATTGAGAGTTCATGTTGTAATTTTGGCATTTGTTGTGGGTAATTGGTTTTATTTAGTAAAGAAACACATTATTCACATTAAAAATAATGATTAAAACAATAGCCTAGTTGAAATAAAGCCAAGCATGGACTATATTGATAATATGATACTAGGTATTATTAATTATTTACTTTCATTCACTAAATATTATTCATAAACCAAAAATGATATAGTTGTTTATATCTGTGGGCAATGAGAACACAGATATTACTAACATTAGTCCAACCTTATGTTCAGTGTCCTAGCTTCTATTCAATTTGATATACTGTTAAATGAATGATATACTGTGAATGAACGAGTTCACATTTCAATTATTTAAAACAGTGCAGAGCATTGGCCAATGAGGACAGTTACATACCAGTGGGGGGGCAGTCTTCAGGAGCATGGGAGAACAAATGGGTCCCTGACCCTCCTATTGCTATTGGACTGTAAAGTGTCATCAAACAAAGAATGATTAGCCCATTTTTACAGATGAAGAAAAGAAATTTAGACTCATCCCACATCCCACTTTGGACCAAACTTATGCCAACAGTTACATGAAATGGTATTTTAGTTCTGGATTGCTGGTGAGTTTTATTCTTTATCTTTAAAAAAGAATAAATGATCAAATTATTCTTTGATTTATAAAACAAAAGAAAAATATGAGTGAGTCAGTAAATAAATAAATTAGGGTAAATCTTGGTACATTACTTATGGCTCATTTTCAGCAATGCATCAGTATGGTCCCTTAAAAAAACATGAATAAGATTAGGGTGGACGTGTGGTTAGGGGGTATATAGATAGAGTATATAGATGTAATAGTTACATTTATTACTTTTATGTTGGGTGGTAGATTTAAGTGTTTATTATATTAAAAATTAAGCATTAAATAAATCCATACATGAAAAGAACAGTTATTTTTGAGTCAATAATGAGTCTATTATAGGAAACAAGATTTATGATTAGTCTAATCCCTCATGACTCAAGTCCATTAAAATAAATTAAATCTACTGATTCATTCTTTATAAAATGTGCATCTTGCTTCACAATGAATATACTACAGCTGATTTAATTATCCAAGGACAATAAACATGTTGGGTTTTTTTTTTTTATAACCTCCTTGGGTAAGGAGGTTAGAGATTGTTGTTCATAACAATTAAAATCATGTCCTTGATTTAGGTTATTTGCTCTGTAGGAACCAATAATGGAAATAGATCAAAGTTTACTGTTAATTTGATTCAGTGCAACTCAGGTCCATTAAAAATCAGTGAAGGATTTTAGTCATTTTCAAAAGTTTTTAGTATTGAATTTTATTTTGTTTCATAGTTGATTGACACATTTCTTTATTGATAAAGGTCCAGGCAGTAGCACAGAGGAAGAGGGAAGATACTGACTGTCATTGTCCTCATTATGAGTTAAGATGGTGGGTCATGTTTGTTCATTATATTCTATTAGTTATCTATGGCTATATAATGAATTTCCCAGAAATTTAATGGCTTAAAACAATAATAAACATTTGTTACCTCTCATAGTTTCTATGTGGCAGGAATCCAGGAGAGGCCTACTGGGTGGTTTTGGCTTAGCATTTCTTGTGAGGTTACAGGCAAGATGTCATGTGCAGTTGTAGACATCTGAAAGCTTGACTGTGCTGGAGGATCTGCTTCCATGACTTACTCTTATGGCTGGAAAGTGGTGTTGGTTGTTGGTAGGTGGTTATAGTTCCTTCCCACATGAACCATTTCTTAGGACTGCTTGAGTATCCTCACAACATGCCAGAACAACCAACCCAAGACAGAGAAAGGTGGAACTCTCAGTCTTTTTTATAATCTAGTTTCAGAAGTCATGCACCATAACTTCCACACTGTTTTATTGGTAAGGCAGGCAGTTAAGATTTAATATGTGAAGAGATTATACAACATCATTCATACCAGGAGACATAGATTATTTCAAGCCATCTTGGAGGCTACCACATGTACTATCCTTATAATATGGACAAATTAAATACAAGAAAGGTGAGCATGTACAAAATATAACTATGGCATTAAGATGAAGCCAAGAAGTTGAGTAATCTATGTAATGCTGACATCCTTTGCAAAAAGATATAGTCTCAGTTCTATAGAAAATAAGCCTATGGATAGATCTCGGTAATATTCAAGGATCTTGTTCTTAGGTTTTTTGATTCATGTATACTGAGTTTGTAATTTTATTTATTTATTTATTTATTGCAGGTTTTGGCCAGGGCTGGGTTTGAACCCGCCATCTCTGGCATATGGAGCTGGCGCCCTGTTCCTTTGAGCCACAGGTGCTGCCCCACTGAGTTTGTTATTACTAATGACTCAACGAATAAAGCAATAAGGATATGAATGAATGGAAAAAAAAGAAAAAGAGTTCCAAGCTTAGACCGATGATGAGTATTCTGGGGTATTTGAATCAATGATTCTGATTAAACCCTATAACTCTGAGGTCTACTACAAGAAGAGATGTATTTAATGCCTGTATGGTAAGAAATATTACCCCAGAAGCAGAAGTCAGACTATTGAGATTCATACGTCTGCATTGTATTACCATAAACGAATTAAGGAATGAACAACAAAACAGATACATAAATGAATGAAGGCATGGAGAACCATATGTGACCTAATTATGAGAGTGTGTACCATATTTATTTTTCTTGAGACATTTCTGAAGCACCCAGCTCCAACACAAATTGATTACATCTGAGACATGTTTGTGTAAGTAATGTATACAGGTAAGTACGTAGAAATCAATGTTGCTGACTTGCATTATTTAGGTGATACTTGTTGCTTATTAAAGGTAAGGAAATATGATCTAATTGGTTATGGCTTATAGTAATAAGCACATATATCACTGTTAATATCATTCAAATTTCTAGTGTACTTTGTGCATTCAGAGATATTGATGATATTATGAGCGAATGCGTAAGTATGTTCATTTCTTATCTCTCAACTTAAGCCCTATAGCTCTGAAGAGGATATAGCAATATTTCAGTTTCAGCTCTATTAACATCCTGGGCTTGTAGTTCTTTGTTATTGGGATTTGTCCTATGTGTTGCTTGTTGTGATAGTTAGACATTTCTCCACACATGTCATCTGGGTGGGGACAACATTGACCCCAATTTAGAACTACTTGGATAAAACACAGACCAATGAGGAGCATGTGTTGTAAAATACGAATTATTTATCCTGTTGTACCTTGCAGGTATTCAGATAAAGAAAAAAAACCCTCATAACCCGGGCTCTTCCCATCTTGGATCACTGTCATATGTACAGTTGCATTTAATTGTATTACAAATTTGCATGGTTAATGTGCTTATAATACTGCATTTTCTTTTGTTTTCCTTTTCTCTCTCTTTTTTTCTAATACTGCATTTTTTTTTTTTAGGAAAAAAAGGTTCATGATAAAGGCATACCTGATAAATGAATAAATACATGAAGGAGGGTCTAATATTAGCAAAAATGTATCATGAAGAAATGTACATTTAATTGTATTGCAATTTTGTGTGGTTTATGTCTTATCTAATTCTGTATAGGTGAGCTCCATTATTAGGAAAAATGTTCTAGATTCTTCTGTTGGGTGGTACATAGATCAATAATATGCTAGGCCATGCTTGGGCCACTGATTAAAATTTGGAATAAATGAAGGTTTATGGTTAATCTAATACAATCCTACAAATGTCCCTTGAAAGATTAAATGTAGGCCTTTCTTCCATCTGCCTTTACCCCACACAATGGGTGTGCCGTATCTAAGCTAATTATTCCCAATGGTGAAAATCCTGGCTGTTCATTCTGTGGATGAAAAGTTTAGGAACAAATCTTTGTTAATGTTTATTATGTTCTTAATTTGGAGGGTTTGTTCATGTTTTTGTTACTTCAGAGAAATAAATGGGGTACATATTTATGTTATATTAAAAAGTACTTTGGGAGGCTGAGGCTAGAGAATTACTTAAGCCAAAGAGTTTGAGGTTGCTGTGAACTGTGACGTCCCGGCACTCTACCAAGGGCTACAAAGTGAGACTCTGTCTCCCCCCTCCAAAAAAAAGTACCATGCGTTGACTGATGATTGAAATGTTTTAAGAAAAAAGACAGTAGTCCCAGCTACTTGGGAGACTGAGGCAAGAGAATCACTTTATTGAGTTTGAGGTTGCTGTGAGCTATGATGCCATGGCACTGTACCAATGGGGACGAGCGAGACTCTGTCTCAAAAAAAAAAACAAAAAAAAGAAAAAGACGAAATGATAACTATTTTGTTTCAGCACAACTAAAACCATTAATTAAAATAAAGTCATTTCAATCATCTTCAAAACAGAATATTATTCCACTTTATTTTTGTACCACAGCTCATTTAAATTTCTTTACATGACTTGGTTTGTCGAATCTTTAAGGGTAGCATGTAAGAAAACAGTTGATATTGTTAGTGTTCATGTTGTGGGATAAGAGGGTATGACCATGTTCATGTTCATTTATTGTTCCTCCCAGAATTTTGGATTGCTTGAAGCTAGGAATGCAAGAGTATCCTGGGCAACACAGATAGACCATAATTCTACCCAAAATTGAAAAAAGTTACATAATATGCTTTTGTACATTTTAATTCAAAGTTATAAATGGAGCATCTTTTTATATGATTATTTCCCCCTTGTTTTTTCTTTCTTTGAGACAGAGTTTCTCTCTGTTGCTCCAGATACAGTGCTGTGTGCCACAGCTTACAGCATCCTCAAACTTCTGGGTTAGAGCAATACTCCCAAGTAGCTGGGACTAAAGGCATGCATCACTATTATGCCCAGCTCGTTTTTCTATTTTTAGTAGAGACAGAGTCTCACTCTTGCTCAGGCTGGTTTTGAACTCCTGAACTCAAGCAATCCACCCAAGTTAGCTTCCCAGAGTGCTAGGATACAGGCGTGAGCCACTGCGCCCAGCCTATCTTATTATGATTATTTTCTGTGTATCTTTGTTGGTGAAGTGTCTGTTAAAATCGCTGGCTTATTTTTTAATATGGTTGTTTTCTTGTTGTTGAGTTTTAAGAGTACTTTGTATATTTTGTATAATAGCACTTTATTGGATATGTCTTTTGCAAATATTTTTTCCAATCTGTGGCTTATCTTTTCATTCTTTTCATACTTAACAGAGCAGAAACTTTTAATTGCAATAATGTCCAGTTTATTAATTCTTTCCTGTACAGATTATCCTTTTGACGTTGCAGCTAAAAAAATCCATTGCCAAATCCAAGGCACCCAACATCATCTAAATTTTCCAGGTTTCTTCTGTGAGTTTTATATATAGCTTTGTGTTTTACATTGAGGTCTATGATTCTTTTTATAATTACAAAATTTATAAATTATGTATAAAAGATGTTAATTTTTGTAAAATGTGTAAAGGCTGTTTCTGGATTCATTTGTTTGCATGTGTATGTCCATTTGCTACATTGCATTGTCTTTGCTCCTTTATCATAGATCACTTGATTGTGTATTTATGTGGGTCTACTTCTGGGCTCTCTATTCTGTTCCATGATTTATTTATTCTTTTGCCAATATCATACTTTCTGTTACTGTGCTTAAATATCATGAATATAGGTAAGACCAGCTTTGTTCTCTTTAAATGTTGTGTGGGCTCTTCTGGGTCTGGCCTCTCCCTGTAAACTTTAGGCTGATTTTATTCACATTACAAAATAACAGGTCTTTGATTACTTTCATCAGCATTTTTATAGTTTTACTCATGTAGATCTTGTACATATTTTATTATGTTTATACCTAATTTATACTCAATATACTGCCTAATAATTTATGGTGTATTATGTTTGATTTATTTTGTATATATGTTTATTATTTAGTATGTTTATATATTATTTATATGTATTACATTTTATTTATTTATATTTTATTGTATATTATTATATGTTAGGTTTATACCTATAGTCATTTTTGCTGATGCTAATATAAACATTATTGTTTTTAATTTCAGATTCCACTTGCTCAATCCTGAAGCAATTGACTTTTTTGTATTCTGCTAACTTGATATAATTACCTATTTGTGCCACAAGCGTTTTTATTAAATTTTTATGAATGAGTTTTTATTAATGCTTTCAGATTTTCTACATAAATAATCATGCTATCTGAAAACAAAGACAGTTTTATTTCTTTTTCTGTTATCAGTATACTTTTTATTTCATTGTCTTGTTTTATAGCATTTGCTAAAACTTCCAGTATAATGTTGAAAAGCAGTTGAGAAGGAATATCCTTGCTGTGTTTCTGATCTGAATAGAAAAACTTTGAGTTTCTTACCATTAAATATAATGTTAGTTGTATGTTTTTAATAGATATTCTTTATCAAGTTAAGGTTCACTTCTATTTTTTCTTAAGTTTTTTTAATATTATTAATCAATATTGGATTTTGTTAAAATAACTTTCTGCAATTACTGATAAGACCATGTGATTTTTTTTTTCTTCCTTAGGTTGCTGATGTGATGGAATTAAATTAATTCATTTTCAAATCTTGAATCAGGTTTGTGTATCTAGGACAATTCTACTTGGTTGTAGTGTCTATTTCTATTTACATATTGCTGGATTTGATTTGCTGTTAAAATTTGAGGACTTTGCTTAATATATTCATGAAAAATATTGGTTTATAATTGTTTTTGTTTCTTGTAATGTCCTTTTCTGATTTTGGTATTATGGTAATGCTGTCTTTTTAGGATGAATTAGAAAGTATTTACTCTGTTTTCATCTTCTGAAAGAGAATGTAGAATTGATATAATTTCTTTCTTAAATGTTTGGGAGAATTTACTAGTAAACCTATCTTTGCAGTTGCCTTCTGTTTTAAAGCATAATTAATTATTGATTTAATGTTTTTAAATAGATGTAGGCCAATTTAGATTGTTTTTCATATTGTGTAAGTTTTGGCAGGCTGTGTCTTTCATTACCTTGAAATTCCAGAAATAATAACCATTTCTTCTAGCTTATCAATTTTGTGCATATAGAATTGCCCACAGTATTCCCTTGTTATGTATTTATTTTTCACAAACTTAGAAATTATTGTATAGTAATTTATTTAAAGATAAACAAAATGGTTATTAGAATCCAAAAAGAATCTCAAAAGAAGCTTACTCTTTGAAAGTATTATATATATGCAAATGTATATTCAAATTAGAAAAGTTTTGATACCATTTATATTGTTTTAAAGTTTGATACCATTTATATTGTTTAAATAACTTATCTTTATCTTCATGTAAAGATTGTATCACATTGTG